GACAACATGGAATTATTAAAAAAGAAAAGAAAAGAAAAGAAAAAGAACAGGGAGATAAGAAAGGGTTACCTCTATTATGGATTTGGGAGCAAGGGACAATAGATCATCAACACTCATATGTTGTTGTAAAATTTCATCTTTGGGAGGCCACATCCCTCTAGCCAAACCCATCAACGTCTCCGGGTCTTTGGCTCCAGTGTCACCAATTGTGATAGGGGACCCATCAGACTTTATCATTTCAGGGAACCACTTCTCGGTAGACCTCGCGAAATCACCCCCAGCGACATCAGCAGTGCCAGGAATCAAAGCACTTTTTTCCTCCGAAGGCCCCAGCCATTAACTTGGGACGCTTCGAAGAAGAATCATCCTTCGCTGATGGACGCTTAGTCCTTGACTGGGCCCCTTTTTGCTTTTGAGAGGGAGAAAGCCTGCTCGCCTCGACAAGAAGGTTCTTCCTTTCTTGCAACAACTTAGCGGCTGCCTCCCTTTCCTTCTTTGTTGTATGGGGTTTTAGAGGAGGAAGTTCTATCACAGATTGAGAGAGGGTAAGAGGGGCAGGCGATAAGATAGCCTCAGAGTCGGAGGCGTCAAGATCAATGGGCTCCTCAGGATTTAAAGCAATTACTGGAGGATCTCTCGAGATCACCTCAAGAAGAGAAGAGGAGAGAAGGATCTTGGCAGAAGGAACGTCGGTCCAAACTATTTCCTGTAAATAGGGCAAGACGACTATTTGCAAATTTCGAAGAGAAAAAATCAGTTTTGTGACCTAGGAAGTCATATATACAACAAAAATGCTTTACGACACAAACAAAGCAAGAAGACTCGCCCGAATCATCAAATGCGGGAACAAATGGGGTATGAAAGCTCGATCGGACGAATAAATCCCGAACGGACGAAGACCGCCACGCCCCTCCGACCTTAACAATTTTGTATTTCCACTCTTTGTCGGAGGTATTAAGATGAGAGAAAAGAGTTCTACCCGGTCTAGAATGAAGGTGGAACCTACCCTTTCCTCCTTTCAATCTATCAAGTGAGTAGCAGAACAGAAGATCAGCAAGATTCAAGGTTAAACCTCGAACTATGTTCAGAACAAGAAGACATGAGAGAATACGGAAGAAATTAGGGTTAACCTAAAGAGGAGCCAAATTCAACACCGACAAAACCCGAAGGTAAAAAGGATTTAAGGGGAATCGAAAGGCGGGAAAATGCAAAGCTGAGAAGAGCGTTTCGCCCTCCTCCAAACCCTCACCTATACTAAAGTTCAAATCATGGTCGTACTCCTCAAGGGTAACGTCAGAAAGAACATGATTCTTCTTTCTCAACTGAGAAATCGAAAAGGACTTCCTTTCTACAACATCTGGAGGGAGGACAATGGGACCTCGGCATAATCGCTTAAACTCGCCACCACAGTTCCCGACTCAGAATCAGACATGTGAACGCTATGAGTTCATTCACTACTTTCTTGACTCATAATGTAAGAAAGATGGAACGAGAAGAAGACTAACCTTGATGGATGGAATGAGATGTTGAAGCAGTTAGCAATCGGATTCTCGCCAAAACTCAGGAACAAAATCACAGATACAGATGCCCAAATCACGAAAACGCAGTATATAAGCTGAAAGGGGCAGATAACGGAAGGGCAAACACGAAGTCCCAGAATCGACAGCACGAACGGTAATAATCAACAGTAACAGCCGCGAAAACTTCTCCACTTCCCAAAAATGGTTACAATTCCTTATATGAATCAAATTCATAAAAAGGAATCAGGGGCAAAGTGTGGAGGGAAAAAATCACACCAATTGCAAAACACCACGTGGCGGCAAAAGGCAGCCCATAACCGAGAAAAAAAGCTAGAAGCCTATAATCAAACATAAGCCCAACAAAGGAAGGCCTACTTAACACAAAGGCAGAATGAACAGGACCAATAGTGACAAGGCCTAAACTCCATAACGCCCGCAATAATGTTGAATGCACGATCTGTAGGCATAATTACCTACGTTTGGGAATAAAAGTCAAGAAACGGCTCCATGTAAATTCCTAAAAAAAAATACTTATAAATAGAGCCTGAACAAAGGTGAAGATCATCGAACTCTGAATATTACTACTATCTCAAAGATTTGCTCGTTCATTTCTTGATTTTTTCTATGTGCTTTCCATAATTGATCTCTTTAGGTGTTTGGGTGTGAAAAATTGCACCCATACCCCCAGTCTTTATTTTGAATGACTTGATAACGTTAATTCCAGCTATGAGACAACTGTTAGTCGGTATACTTATCTGAGTCCTCCTCACTATATGTCCTATCGCTTTGGTTGAACAATGATCTCTTATAACTGGTATCATTTTCATCCTTGGTGAGAGGGGCTAACCTTTTCTTGTCCTCTCCTTCCTTTCACTTCCGTGCATTCATGGCGTCTTTAGCGTTCATGTGTTTTTACGCTCTGATCAACAACTCTGCCATGCTGGTGAGAGGTTCTTTGGATAAGGCGAACAAGAATCTGGAGGTTTAGAGTCCTCCTACGAAAATGGTCAAAGCCACCTTGTCATCTACCTCTTTTGCCAGCAACATCTCTGTGTTGAATTGGGTGATGTATTCCCGGATCGACTCACCCTTCTGTTGCTTCATGGTAAGCAAATAGGTGGCCGGCCTCTTATGCCTCTGACCTGCGATGAAGTGGCTCACAAATTGCTTGCTTAGTTCTTCGAAGGTGTTGATGGTTCCTGGCTTTAACTTGTTGAACCAACCCTTACCGATCCCTTAAGTGTAGTGGGAAAAGCTCGGCACATGATTGCATCTGGCACGATGTGCAAATGCATAAGAGCTTGAAAGGTTTCCAGGTGATCGAGGGGATCTTTGGTCCCATCGAAGCTTTTGAACCAAGGCATCCTGAACTTGCTAGGCAATGGACATTTCATAATGGCGGGGCTGAACGGCAAGTTGGTCCTTTGTACCATGTCATCTATGGTGGCAGGACCTTTCCCTTTCATAGCCTGCATTACATCTTCCATTTTCCCCTTGAGATCCTCGATCTGCAGGTCGAAATAGGTAACTTTCTTTGTCTTTTCCTTAAGACAGAAAGCTATGCATTCATAAGGTCGGAAACTCCGTGGGAGAGATGGGTGGACCACCTCTTTATGTCGGTTTCCCACCTGGCTTTGTTCCACTTCGGTCTCATTTTGGGGAGGATGATTATCCTGCTCTTCAAGATTCCCATTACCTCAGTTTGGATTTGAGAGATCTTGTCGTGGCAAGTTTTGTTAAACCGGTGGAACAAGATATTGTAGGAGTGTTGTATTTTGCTGGATCAACTGGTCCATACCCTGACTCAGGTTTGGACCTACATTTCCAACGCTGCAAGCTGTGTCTGGTCGTTTGGGACGTTTAGGTTTTCACCCGACTCTACCCTTTGACCAGATCCCTGCGACGGTGTTCCTTCGGTAACCATACCGAACCGCAAATGTATATACCCAATTGAGTAATTAATTCATTCAAGGGAATCGTCGTTCCCATAAACGGCGCCAACTGTTGAGGGTGAAATTCACACGATCCGATACGATACCGTTTTTCTGGAAGGAAGAGAGGAGAAGATCGATGAACCTTGACAGCGCCGGTATGGTGCCTGCCAAGAGCTCTCCGACGATCAAGTTAGTCATCGGAGGTCTAAAAAGAAAGGTAGGATTTAATAATAGTTTTTTCGTCGTACCTTATTCCCGAGTCGTCTTCCTATTTATAGTCACTTCCCTTATTCTTGATAAGGGAATATCATAATCCTTATCCTATGAAAATTTTATCCTTGATAAGATTTGTCATTATCCCATGGAATTTATCCAATGGAAATCGTTATCCTTAATAACGAAATATTATCTTTCGAAAATAGAAAAGATTTGGCATCTGATCAACACTTAGTTGCCTCTATCGTTAGATGAAGGTAGGTTAGGTTTATTTTTCTGACAAGGGTAGCTTCATTATTATAAATTTAAAGACCTGACATGTGATACCACGCGCCTGTTTAACCGCAAAAATCAATTGAAATTTCATCGATGGGTGATTTTTGCAAAATTTTAGATAGTTCAGAGAGTTAATTATAAAAATATGATATTGGGGGGGGGGGGGGAGAAAATATGATGGGGGGGGGGAGAGAGGAGAGAGTATAATTTAGGGGGGGTTTTAAGCACTTAACCCTTTTTATTATCACAAACATAACCGTAGTGAGTCTAGTGACATACCATGCTGCCTCTTCGCCCCACTTCCCAATATATGATATGGAGTATTTAATAAATTTGATCCCCCTTTTTTTTTTTTTTTTTTTTTTTAATGTGAGTCCATATAATAAATACATTGAAAAAGTTAATACAATTTAAAATTATTTTTGTTTAATATATATATATATTTTCTTCTTGTGACATTTTAATGTCGTGATCAAATACCTTTTATTACACTTTCAATTAATGGAACTAATATTGAATTTATTGTGAGCCTTTGCATCTACATCATGCAATTTGATTAGGGGTGACAAAATAGGTCAGGAACCATTAATTCGCCCATATCCACCCGTCTTTTAATGGTTATGGGTGAACTACATTTAATTTGAGGGTCAAGATAGGTTGAATATGGTTAACCATATTCAACCCAAATTTCACCCATCACATAATAAACACACAACACACATCTATTCTATATTGCACTCAACTCATTTCTCTCTTTAAAATTCTCTCTCTCACAATCCTCTCTCTCTAAATTTGTCTCTTATCAATCCCCTTTCTCTAAGTTTTTCTCTCTATAAACTTCTTCTAAAAAAGATAAATAATTAAAAAAATAAAAAATAAATAAAATTTTTTTTAAAAATAAATACTCTATTTTATAAAATCAATAAAATTTTACCTTTTTATTTATTTATTTTATCAATATCTATATATATATAGTTATGTTCTAATCGAAAAATCTGAATTTAAGAATAAATCAACAAATGAAAAGGGAATAAAAAAAAAGGAAATGGATTACCTTTTTCTCCAGTAGACATGAAGGGCCACCGATTAATGAGAAAGCTGAAAAAAGAAAAAGAAAAAGAAAATCTGGTTGAGACACCAATGATAATATATATTTTTTATTATTTAATTTCTGGTGAAATTTGAGAAGAAAATAGAAAATGCTAGAATATAATAGGTTGTGAAATGAAATTTTCTGGGGAATTGATGTTGTTACCAGATGTGACGGAGATGGTGATCACAAGAAAGGCCACTCTCTTCCTCTTTCTCTTTCTCGCCAGATTAATCTCTCCCTTCTCTCCCTCTCCCTCTCTCTCTCTCTCTCTCTTTAATTTAAAAAAAAATAATAAATAAAATTTTAACCACTTAGTTGCGTTTTCTTAAGACTCACATAATGAATAATCAAACATGTAATATATGTTAAATCATGTTAAAATTTAATAAAAAAAATTTAAAATAAAAAATTTAAAAAATAATTAAAAATAATAATTAATGGGTTTACGGGTCATAACGGGTTGACCCTGCCTATTTTCAACTCGTTCATTTTCAACCCATTCTGAACGGGTTGAATATGAGTTTTGACTCATGTTAACTTGCCCATTTTCAACCCAATCCAACCCCGACCCAACCCGCCCATTTACTACCCCTAAATTAGATAGAGAACTCTAGTATTGAAACTAAAAGAAGCCAAAAAATAATAATAATAAAATACACACACAAGCCTACCATGAGCCTTAGCATCTAAATCAAACAATTTAATAGAAAGCATTAAAAGTATATATATATGTGCATGAAACTTTTTCTTGATATATATATATAAATTCGTTTTAATTTTCATAAAAAAAAAAATTAGAAAAATGAAGAAACGTGCATAAATGTATAAAATCTAATTAAGCATAACCAAATGCACTATTTGATGTCATGTACATATCTTAAGCTTCTAGCATAGAAATATTTGAGAAGTACTAGTACGATGAGAGAAAAAATTAGTTGCACCCCGTTCACCGTGTATTGGGCATATCAGGACCGTCCATGTAATACACATACGAACGTATTAATCAACTATTCATTTACATTCTTGTGCACGTATGATACTATGGGCTTGCTCTTTGCTAGCTATTTTACTTCACTACTTAGAGCATCTCCAATGCTAAAATGCTAAATTCGGATGCCAAATCCATATTTTGACAGCGCTACAGTGTCAAAATGCTACATTTTAGCAATTCTGCTCCAATGGTGTATTTAATGTAAAATGCTATTTTTTGACACAACCACCATTCTTTTTCAACTACCATTCCCAAAATTAATAGATAGGTCATGCCGGGTGATGAAACGAGCTTAATTTCAAGTGAATCTAGGTCAATAAACCTGATTTATAAGCAACATTTGTAACCAACAACAAATTCTCAAAGTCAATCGGCTTGAACTTCCTTAACCATCTTAAAATACTCAATATTTATGCAGAAAATTATGAGAGTAAACTATCAATTCTAATCATTTCCAAGAGCATTCACCCTTTACTTTCTCAGGTATACATAAACCAAGGTAAACAAGGAATGATTCATTTTTAGCAGTAGTTATAAAAAACAATAATCACCAAGGTAATTAGAACTAATACATGCTTTATTATATTAATTATTATGTCTTAAATAGTGCTTATTTTTACACACATTCCTTTCAGGGAATGATGTCTCTCACAGTATAAAGTAGAGTAAATCACAACACCTTGTATCTTAATACTTCACTGATCCATTAGACATTGATGAAACCTTGCAGACACACCAAGGGCACATTTCTATAGTGCAGGTCCAGTTGCAATGTGTCGTATTATGTAGAGTTATATAATGCTACCAGCAACCCTCTTCCTACTACAGCAGAACGGGGAGGATCAATAAACTGTCAACCTGAAAATGCACCAATTTATGAAAACTTCAATCAGCATTCAAGTTTTGGTTTAATATCATCAGCCTTCCATGTCTGTACAAAACTAAACATAATAAGCTTCTGCTCACCTCAGGTCGTCAGGTTTTGTGCCCACTGTAATAAAATAAAAAAATGTTCCATATACAACACAACACAAATGGATTTATTTTCAATATTTTCTTCTCTTGATTTTTAGTCTTGATCAATCTATTCATGAAACTAGTGTTATTAATTGGGGGCATGTACATGGATCCATCACCTAAGTTGGCTTTGTTAAATTCAAGGCAATTATACCCTTTATCACGGCCTTAAATCACGTCCTTTTCGAACTCTTCTCTTCCTGACACCTTCAACTTTTTGTTTAGATCTCCTTTTCTTGTAATGCCACTCATCCGTATCAATATCCTCACTTCAGTGACACACATTTTCAACATGCTGTTTCTTACTAGTGTCTATTTAACAATTTGTATCAAATAGCTAATGTGAGTAAAATAGGATCCTTCAGTTCCAACATCAAACTAATAAAATGTGTGAAAGCTTTGCAAAGAGAATCAGAGTTTATAGATTGTTTTAGATGGTTCAAGTTTGGTCCAAGGAAAAAGTAAAAAGACAGCAAGTTGTGTTATAGTAGAAGTGGTAGAGAAGAAAGATAACAAGACGAATAAGAGGAAGTATAAAGAGAGAGGCGTAAGGAGAGAAAGAAAGCAATCTCAATCTTTCAAAGCAAGCAATAAGGCTACGATTCTAAATTCAATATTCAATGACTTCAAAACAGATGGTTAGGCATCAAACTATCCAACGCAAAAACTTCTGTAGAAACAATAAATTACCATTCTTTTCCTTATCACCTCATTAGACAGCTTAGTGTTCCTCTTGCCCTGGCAACATCCAACGTGGAAACTGAGGAAAACATCACTCTTCCTCTTTTTTGGTAGCTGTCTACCATAATCGAGCAAGTTATTTTGGTTTTTGTATTGTACAATCCATCCATTCTTGTTCATTTTTATGCACAATTTTTACTCAGGTTTACCAATTAAAAATGTATAAATTCAGAAACTGAAAAATAAAAACTTTTGCAAGTTGTAAAAATGATGGTGGACAATCACAGAAGCTACAAAGGGTTGCATAAAAGAAAATTAATTATTAGATTCATCAAACAAATCAAACACATCTTTATGCAACACCCTGTTCTACTGTCCATGACCACAAGATTGAAACCCAAATGAAATCCAAACTCATAGATATGGCCAAAAGATTGAAACCCAAATGAAATCTAAACTCACTGAATCCAAACACCAGTCAATGCAACAAAATTCGCAGATTCGATAACAATGAATTACACAGGAAATTTGAGATAAAGAATACAAAAACACTAGGAACCTTACCGTATCTGGCTTAACTCCCACAAAGATGCAATGAAAAACCAAATCAAATCGGTTTTTAGCAACAAACTTAGACAATGAAATCTGAAAGAGAAATGGATTGACGGCCACCGTTCTCCTCTCTCTCTCTTTGTTGCCCTAGACAAATACAAGCGAAATTGGAGCCGTCCCTTCTTTTCTGTAGCCCCAGTCCACGTATAGCAATTGCTATTTGTTTTGCAACAATTGGCATAAAAAATAGCAAAGTTTAAAAATAGTAGTCTAAATAGCATTGCATTGGAGAGCCCAGTTTTAAGCCCACCTATCATATTTTGAATTAACAGCCCAAATAAGAGGTGGGTTGGAAATACTCTTAGCACACTAAAAGTAGCATGTTATGGGCCTTTGTTGAAATCAGTAGAATTGTAACAAAGCCCATTGAAGAATGGATGGTAGCCCATAGAGTAATTTTCTTTGGCATTGAAGTGTGTAGCATTACCCATTGGGCCAAAACTTTGGAAAAGTTAATATGAATCAAATATTTCACATAATATATATATATATATATATATATATATCACATCATTCTTGATACAAATTTTCTAATTGCAGTTTTATGTGATAACATATGAATAATAAAGAGGGCCAAGAGGAATTAAGGTGAACAATATATATTAGGTTTGTTTAGAAAATATAAAATGGCCAAGAGGAATTCAGGTGAACAACATATATCTATGTTTATTTAGATGTACAATATTTTTAATTTTTTTTTTTATTTTCTGGTGTTTACAAATGGAGCTTACATGTTTGAAGTAAGCTGCTTTGTTTGTAACCAAAACTTTTTAGAATTTGAAAATAGAATTGGAAAAGGAATTGTTAAAATAGGATTTATTTGCAGTTTGGAAAAAAATTAGAATTTGTAAAATATATACTCCGTATGTGTTACATCACACTGTTCCAAACAAGACAAGTCAAATCCTGGATGCCAAACACACCGTGAGAACACACCCAATCTCTCTCACTCTCTCTCTCTGAAATCTCCCATGGATTTGCTAAAGCAATTCTACAAAGGCGACGCCGACGACGAGTTCGATCGTAACCCTAATTTCACAACCTCCGATCACTCATCACCACCATCCCCAGACTCGTCCCCTCCCCGAATCTCTCTCCCCTCCAAATCCTCCGCCCCCAAAGTCGACGACACCATGCTCGCCCTCACCGTCGCCAATTCCAACCGAGCCCTAACCAAACCCCTCGACCCCTCCCACCACGTCGTAGCCTTCAACCCCACCTACGACCAGCTCTGGGCTCCCATCTACGGTCCCGCCCACCCCTACGCTAAGGACGGCATCGCCCAAGGCATGCGCAACCACAAATTAGGGTTTGTCGAAAACGCCGCCATCGAACCCTTCATCTTCGACGAACAGTACAATACCTTTCACAAATACGGCTACGCCGCCGACCCCTCCGCCTCCGCGGGGAACAATTACGTCGGCGATTTGGATGCGTTGAAGCAAAACGACGCTATATCGGTGTACAATATTCCCCAACACGAGCAGAAAAAGAGGAAGCTTGAGAAGAAGAAGGAGGCAACTGAGGGTGATGAGAATGCGGTCGGTGGTGATGGTGTGGATTCGGAGGAGGTTGAGAATCCTGCGTCGGAGGTGTGGCTGTTGAGGAATCGAAAGAGTCCTTGGGCTGGGAAGAAGGAGGGTTTGCAAGCAGAGTTGACGGAGGAGCAGAAGAAGTATGCGGAGGAGTATGCCAAGAAGAAGGGTGAGCAGAAGAATGGCGAAAAGGGTGAGGTTGTTGCAGATAAGACTACCTTTCACGGGAAGGAGGAGAAGGATTTTCAGGGCAGGTCGTGGATTGCACATCCTAAGGATGCCAAGGCTACGAACGATCATTGTTATATACCGAAGCGTTTGGTGCATACGTGGAGTGGGCACACAAAGGGTGTTTCTGCAATCAGGTTCTTCCCCAAGCATGGGCATTTGATTCTCTCTGCAGGGATGGACAGTAAGGTGAAAATTTGGGATGTTTGTAATTCAGGCAAGTGTATGAGGACTTACATGGGGCATGGAAAGGCTGTTCGAGATATTTCATTTTGTAAGGATGGGAGTAAGTTTTTGAGTGCTGGGTATGATAAGAATATCAAGTACTGGGACACAGAAACAGGGCAGGTGATATCGACATTCTCGACTGGGAAGATACCTTATGTGGTTAAGCTCAACCCGGACGAAGATAAGCAGAACATTCTTCTAGCAGGAATGAGTGATAAGAAGATTGTTCAGTGGGACATGAATAGTGGGCAAATTACCCAAGAGTATGATCAGCATTTGGGAGCGGTTAATACGATCACATTTGTAGACAATAACAGAAGATTTGTTACTTCTAGTGATGACAAATCTCTTCGAGTTTGGGAATTTGGGATTCCGGTGGTTATAAAGTATATAAGTGAACCCCACATGCACTCAATGCCATCCATATCTCTTCATCCGAATACAAATTGGCTAGCAGCACAGAGTTTGGACAATCAGATTCTTATATACAGCACTAGGGAAAGATTTCAGCTCAATAAGAAGAAGAGGTTCGCTGGGCACATAGCGGCTGGATATGCATGCCAAGTCAACTTTTCACCGGATGGTCGGTTTGTCATGTCAGGAGATGGTGAGGGTAAATGCTGGTTTTGGGATTGGAAGAGTTGCAAAGTTTTTAGAACTCTCAAGTGTCATGAGGGAGTATGCATTGGTTGTGAGTGGCATCCATTGGAACAAAGTAAAGTAGCGACGTGTGGCTGGGATGGATTGATCAAGTACTGGTAAGAAATCAATCATCAATACTCCATAAGTAGTTCTTATATTTGCTTATCACTAGATTACTTTGGAGAGTCCCTTAATTTTATTAACTGGTGCATTGTGATATAAGTGGATGGGCTAATAATTACATTAGAAAATTCTTATTTTACTTTTTCCCCTTGAAATAACACAATTGTTCATATGTAAGGATATAATGATAAAAACAAAACCTTTATTTGTTCTCTATATGTCCTGCTCAACAAAACAAAATAAGGGAAAGGGAACTCTTTCCATTTACGTACCTTTTTTCATTACTTTTACCTTTCCTACCTTGCTTTCAAGTGTTCTTCCTTTATACTAGATAAGGCATTAGTGTAGAGTGGTAGTTACAAAAAAAAAAAAAAAAAAAAAAACAGGAAAGAACAGAAAAATTGAGAAAAATAACGTACTGAAGGTTATACAAAATATCTACGAGATTCACAACTTAGTGGATTGTAGTGGCTGCTATGCGTTCTGATGATCATTTTTTTCGTTATCAACAGTAGAATCATACCCTAACCCCTTGTCCTTGCATGCTAGCGTCTTTCCACGGTGGTAGAATGGCTTTGGCATGGTGTTGTAATATCCTTGCCTGACCTCTTCATGAAAAAAAATAGTCAAAGCACTCACCAATCCCTTTTGAAATATTATCTTCCTCTGTAATTTCAACCAAGGCACATTGTTTGTTTGTTTGTTTGTTTTTTTTTTTTTTTTTTTTTTTTTTTTTTCACTTTTTCTAAGGATGAAATATTCCTCTTTCAACATTGGAGGCATGCACTTGCAAAATCCAAACTTACTAACCAGCCCTACACCTAGCAACATGAAATCTTGGAAAAGCTCATCATCACTCATATTTGTTTTTTTTTTTTTTTTTTATAAGTAAGATTTCATCAAAGGCTTTCAGTTTAGATTTTTGGATAAGTCAATTTTTAATACATCACATTTTACCCGAAATAACAGCTGCTTTCTTTATCCATTTTTAACACAATCAGTTCTACTCTACCAATTGAAGGTAGAGACCTCTCAACAAAACATGACTTGAGGAATTCAGGATTTGCTTGACCATCTCCATTGAAACTTGACAATCAAATGTGTTTTTCTGACAGATAAATGCCCAATACAGCTTCCTTATATGTGTTGGTTTCTTCCCACCATCAACTGGTAGAACCAACTCCTTTGTGTTAAGGACATCAAGATTCTATTCTTGTATCCGTAGAAATTAAAATCATGCATTGGTGCTTCTTTCCAACTTTCAATACCTGTATCTTCATGGAGATTTCCGAATATACGCATTACAGGGTACCTGTAAATGCATTCTAAAACATACTCCATTGGCCATGCAATACATTCTTCCCTGAAAATAAATCTGCAAAATTTTCCACCTCATACTGTTTTTCATTTATAGAGCAGAAATTTCCTCGTATACCCATAATGTACTTATTTGGTAATTATCATTCTATGACTCCTTTTAGAGCTTTTCTTATTAAATCTTCATGTATGTTTCAACATTATATTTCGTAATAATCTTTTTACAATTCTTTTGGAGCTTTTCTTATTAAATTTTTGTGTATGTTCGGAACGATATATTTCATATGATCAACCAACTCACATGGTTTTCCTTTCTCCAAATAATTTTTTTTTTTTGTTCTTAATTATCATGGGCATGCCTTAATAATCTTTTTATTTTGCTTTTGCTTTTGCTACACTTTTCACGTGTAATTCTTCCGATTAGTATTTTTGTTTCATCATATTACCTGTCATTTTATATATTTGTACAGAGGGTGGGATTGTCTGGGTGAAAAAATAAAATTGGTACGTAAAGCAATAATCAGGAAATAACTGGCCACATACAACTTAAATGACGTTGGAAATTCTTAGGGAGGCCATAGCTGATAGATGGACTCTATAGGATTTTCAGATATTAGGAACAGATATAGTATTAAATATTCTAAATTCTCAATTGTTTTCAACAAGCTAATATGCATGCTTGCTTATCTCATTCTTATCCAATTTTTTTATGGAAGATATATTGGTCTGTGTCTTTATATGTGTGTGTGCTCGTGTGTGCACATGCGTATTTACACTCATGCCTGTGCATGTGTGCACACATCCATTTTGTGCACATGTGCATGCTTGCATGTATAGCTTGTAAAGTTCTGTCATTACTATTGAAGGCTAAATTTTCTCCTCCATTTGCAGGGACTAGCCTTTTCAGCTTTGAATTCCAAGTTGCATAATATCAAGGTGGATGAACTCCTTCACACTGTTAACCCTTTAATTGTCATCCGTATACCCAAGATGTGGGGATATATATTAGCTCAATCTCTGTTAGTCTGATACTTGTACTTCTATATTTATTTGTTCTTTTCGACCTTTGTGGTTTAGGACCTTTTGTACCCTAATTTAGCCGTTCTTAAATGCTTTCTGCTTGGGTTGTACCATCTTCTTGTGCTTTTTACCCAAAAATTGCAGTTACTATCCATGTACACATGCTGGAGAAATAGAGCAATGTACTTTAGTCTTTGTTAAATAATTTCCAGTTCTTCTTTTAATTAAGGACTGAGGATGCAAAATTGATTATCATCCCTCGTCCAGATTGTGCATTGTTAAGAGCGCGCGTAGCAGCTGTATATGAAATGATAATCATTCTTTGTTTTCTTTTTACTCTTGTAGATTTCTTTCCATCTCCACTTTATGATTGAGTGTTAGTAGTTATAAAAGATTCTATCACATGAATCTAGTATCAGTGCAGAGATTCCCTGTAGGTCAAAGATTTACATTCTGAAACACCATAGCGTTTTGAGCTGTAGAATTAGAGGGGACTGGTCTTGGTGCTGCAAGAAGATCCTGAGGATGAGAGGCATAATCATATACCTCATGTCAGATATTTTACTGGGGATGGCAATAACACTTCCTTGTGGTTTGACTCTTGGCACCCTTCTGGTATTATAGCTGATGCCAAAGGTGAAACTGTCATCCAGCTAGCTAGTGGTTGAAATAATTCAAGGTTATAACTGGTTTTGGCCTAATGCAAGATTGAGGGTGATCAAAGAGCTTGTTGAAGAGAGATCCTACCATCAACCCTCAAGTGGTTAGTCACTTGGACTTGGTGCCTTGTGAAGCATCAAGGTGTAAACAATTCCTTAAAGCCATGTCCGCCGGCAAAAGCCAGTTTTATGGACCTGTGTAGGGGAGTTGCGCTTTACACGGTGTCCTAGGGAATACCAACAGAGATCCCACCATCTCTGCTTGATTAATACTTAGTTGTGTTGTTTTAGAGAGAGAGTGGAGAGTCGTACTCATCTCTTTTTTCAACGTTGTTTGAGCATGGCCCTCGAGGAAAATCTAACAGAATACTACGTGCTAAATTGGTCCTAGAGAATTTGGTTAAATTGCTATTTTATGGAAAGAGAGGAATCAAAGGATGTATGCTGACTGCTACAAAGACTGTTTCTCAATCACGGTTGACTCCCAGCTTGTGATTACACCTTTTTCGTAAAGCTTGTAAAGTCCTGTTTCTGTCCCGAGGCTGCTTGTATTTTGCATAATAGGTGGTCTAGGGTTTTTTTGAGATACGTTGCTTCCCTTGTTACAGAAACCTTAAAAAAAATATAAATCAATAATGATGATAATAAATAAAAAGGTTTTTGCTTTGAGAATAACCATATATCTTTGACGGTGGGTATGTCTTTGACGGTGTGTGAGCTTTGCCAACTAACTAAAATATATAAAAACAAATAAATAATAATTTTCTTAAATTATTTTTTAGATAATTTATTTTAAGGCAAATTGTAAAACTCCTCTCGACTATCACTCACTTGTAAAAAAACCCTCCTTATGAATGAATAATTTTAGCAAGAAACCCTCCTCAACTATACTAAGGGGGGTATTTTAAGTTGAACAATACGTAGATCCTCACTCTACACCATACTCACTGTTGACGTGGACTAATAATAAATCATTTTTAATTATCAATTTCATATGGTGGGTAGATATATCCACTTACCAAATCAGAAATGGTGATTTGATTACCATTTATAGTTTGATAATTAAAATAGAATGTGTCAATTTATTATTAGTCCATATCTCGTGTAGATTAGAGGTGTTCAGAAAATTTGGTAAATCGAAAAACGGGACCGGACAGGACTGAACTAGGTGGTTTGGGCTAGTTATATAATGGTTTGGTCCGGTCCTGGACCCAAAATTATAAAACCGTAATTTTTCGGTTCGGTCTTGGTTTGAGTTCCGGCTGGACTAGCCCAGCCCAGACCGAACCGTTATATAATTTATATATATATATATATATATATATAATATTCTTTTTAACTTCATTATGATTAGTGAACTAAGTCTATATACTTTTAGCCATGGCAAGAAATAATTATGATAACTGGGGACTTCAAACATTAGTTATTCCGTACTTGATCTGTCTTGTTTTTTTAAAATTTTGAGTTATTTTTTTTTTTTCTTTTCCCAATACCTCGAAAATGGTAAACAAGGAATGTTGTATATATATATATTTTCTTGTGGTCATCTGGTCACTGTCTGTTTGTTTCTTCCACAGGTGCCTGATATTATTGACAACGCATATGTGATTATCATCTGGCCACTATCAGTTCCCTGATGTATTATATAATACATGGAAAAATAAGAGATTTTGTTTTTTCTTTTTTATTTAAAATATAAAGGAAATCAACTTAAATTAACAAACCAAACCGAACCAAACCGGTTTTTCGCGGTTTGGTTTGGTTTGGTTCCATGGGCATTATGGTTCGGTCTGATTTCAAAAATAGTAGAATCGTTATAAATGGTTTGGTCCAAAAAAAACTCCCAATCCTATCCAAACCGGAGCATGTGCACTCCTAGTGTAGATCTTCACTAGTGAGGACCTAAGTATTGTTTTTTTAACTTAACACTATGTAATGATTTTTTGAGGAAAATTTTTGGACCAAATTACCCCTCAACATTAAAGGTTGGGCCCAAATTTGTCAACTGCGAAGTCAACTACACGGCGGATGTCGTCCTCTTTGGTGATATTATAGTGGAAAAAACATGTATTCAGGTTGCCATCAAGGGCTTCGCATAGACGTTGAATGAAACAACTTCCCTATGATTATGTTTGCCCAATAATGGCCTTTTTGATCTCATTCGTATTCTGATCGAAGGAAGAAGATAACCTTTTCATTCTGACTACTATCTTTGTTGAAACGGATATAGCTCACAGTGCTCTCATTTATAGATACTGGAAATGAAAAAGTCTCATGAAGAAAGCCAATCTTCTGAATATTATGACTTTATTGGTAAGACCCTTCGTAAGATGGATAATATCCATCTTAAATTATTATGTACTATAATGGTTCATGGGCTGCTGTTATTTCCAGACCTTTGATTCTGGTTTCATTTTTTTTGTGGAGTCCTTAGAATCAAGCTCAAGCTAGACCGAGGACTCATTTGGCATTAACATGCTTATCGAGCTGGAACCTTTATCTCAGGTGTAAGCCGCCTTATTAAACATTCGCGCACAAAGCGCAGACAAAAAAAATTCTTTTCTGATATATGGGCTCTGGAAGCCCAACTCGCCCCTGGGCTACCACCATAGCTCAACCCAGGTGAATATGACTGGTATGCGAAACTTTGGGGACTGTTGTGAATGTGAACCACTACTCCGCACTCTCCAAAACGAGATATTCCAAGTCCATATGATGGAACTAGAACGATCTTTACAAGATCTTTGATTCTTAATGCTAATGCTGGAACCCCAAATCGGGGAAATTCCGAATGTTGCGCTTTATGGTGATATTCGACAAGAAGCCTTCGAATTTCTCGAAGCAAAGATTCAACTCGTAAGCTCAATCCCAGAAAGTTTTGAACGAAATATATCTAGAGGTAGCCTAAACCACGTGATTCGAGATATTGAACAAAGGGGGGTTACCGCCTCCATTTACAAAGAATTCTATTCGTACTTCACTAACGAGGAATTTCGACGGTCGATCAACCCATAAGACTCACCTTTGTTCTGTAGTTCTTATCTTCCTATTTCTCAGCCACCGTTTACTTCTCCCTTGACTTTATTAAATCCATCTTTCATGGAATTCTCTTCTATAGGAGAAGAAAGGGTTTGGAATTTTTTCTATTTTTGATTCATGGACTTCTTTTTTGTTTAGCATCCCCCTTCTACTTTCCATTATTTTATGGAACCTGGTGTGGAATCACCATACTTTCATTGTTGGTCTGGCTGCTGGTCTAGCGAGCCTGACTATCTTAGCCGCCTAGAAGCCTGCCTGCCGAAGACCATCACATAAGTAACTCAGTGCTCCATATGGGGGAAATGAAAGCAGAATTCGTTCGTATCCTTTCCCACATGTTCAATCTTTTTTTAGCGGTTTCCCCAGAAATCTTTCCCATTAATGCAACCTCTATTTTGCACATTCATGGAGTTGTATTTAGTACCTCTAAGAAGAATGATTATCCACCATTATTCAGTAATGTGGGTTGGCTTGGATTACTTAGTATTGCGCCCCTAGGAGGGCAGCTCGCTTTGGGATGCGGATGAGCTATTATCGCCCAGCTCCCTAACCTAATGCGGCACCGGGTTCGGACCGCAGGGAACCTTAGCATGAGGGGACGCCTAATCATTTTGCCGCTGCAAGGCTGGCTAATCGTACGCAGCAGGCTTGAAGACCCCTGGTTCTGGAAGGCGCATGAGTCCAAACGCTATGTTGAATGTGTGATCGACACTACATTACGTAGGTACCTTTACACACAAATTTTATAGTCTACAAATAAGAACAAAATTGGGAGAAAATATAATATTTTATTAATTTAGGAAAATTTGAGTATAATCCTCTGTAATATTCTTTATAAAGAATAAGGTTCTCTGATTCGATCTCCTTTTTGGTTGTTGGTTAGATTCAAGGGCTGCACAAGCTTGATCATGAATCACCGTGGAATTTGGATGAAAACGGCACGATTTGATGTGCTTATTGTTGATCACCGTGGAATTTGGATGAAGAACGGCACGATTTGATGTGCTTGTTGTTGATCACCATGGAATTTGGATGAAAAATGACACGATTTGATGTGCTTATTGTTATTCGCCTTCAAAGAGGATTTGTTGAATTTGGTGAAGAACGGCACGACTTTGGATGTGCTTGGTGTTCTTTGCCTTTAGGTTTGCCTTCTGGATTTCTGGCCCTCTAGATTTCTGATTCTCTCAATTTCTGGACCTTTTGGATTTCTGAGTCTCTGGATTTCTGGACTCTGAATTTCTGTCCCTTCTTCCTTCTTCCTCCTTTCTCCAGGCCTCTATTTGTAGGCTTCTTAGATTAATAGGATGATGACACATGTCCTCTCCTGATAAGGAAAAATCATAACTGGGTCGGGCCGGTTATAGTATGATAATTATCCTTAAAAATAATTATTCTAAATATATTTTATTAGGAATAATTATCTTTCCATTTAATCATCTGGGCTGGGCTAATTAAATAATTTAAGTGGACCAAGCTTGGGCCAATTAAATAACTTAATTAAACATTAGGCCTATATTTAATGGGTCCATTTGTCAAAACCAAAGCCCACTAAAATTTTAGTGTTTATAGTACCTGTGCAGGTGAGGCGTTGGTCGGTCCTAGAAATGGTGGCAGCAGCGCGAGGAGTTAACGACC